AATCCCTTTCTACTAAACTAAGAAAAACTTTTCAGTCTGGATTAGTGTCACAAGTGACGACGTATGTTTTTAAAGCAGAGCTAAATGTTCCTCTCCTTTTCAGCCAAGGAAGTTGCCATCTCTACCCTTTGTTTGATCTGCAACTGCCATGATGCACATGTGATCAGTTATGACTCCAACCATTGATGATTTGACAGTTTGGTTGAGAGCACAAGCAAATGTGACCGCATTCCCGACATACCAGGAAATGTAACTTTTTTTGAAACCTTAAACTCAATTAAAGTTCCACTTTAAGTGACTTTGTTTAAAAAATAAAGAAGTAGCCTGAAAAAAGACTATCAAAGGGAATTGCAGCCTACTAGACCCTGGTAGGGAAAGTGAGATGCACATAACTAGTCTCTACAGTAGCCTTTTTGGATGCCATGGTGATAGCGGTCGACACCAGATGTTGATTCTTTCTCCCTGTCATCGGATCCAAATGCAATCGTCTTGTAGCAAGAGGCAGGATCAGTGATGGATTTACAGTTGGGTATGTTATATACATTCAGGGGGATTCAAAACAGCCCTAATGGCACTTTTCCGGTAATAGTTTCCTTAAAGAAGAACTAAACCCTCCTACCATTTTCACTCACGGAAGCTGACATCTTAGCCTCTGTTTGATCTTCAACTGCCATGATGCTGCACATGTGATCAGATATGAAACCATTCATTTGATGGTTTGACAGTTTGGTTGAGAGCACAAGCAAATGTGACAGTTAGCATTCCGGGCATGTGTTTTTTGAAACTGTTAAATCGGTTTGAGATTGGATTGAGTTCTGCCTTAAGAACTAAATAAACCTAATTCAGGCAAGCATTTGCACCATTGTTGGTAACATATCCAGCAAAATTAGGTAGTTCTTAATACTGCCACCTTAGGCCTTGTTCACACCATACGTTAAGAAAAACTGATGGAAACTGACATGCAGATTTCACTTGCAGAGACATCAGTTTACATCCAGGCTTCAGTAAGTTTTATACACGTTGCAGATTCCTCCACAGAAAAAATCTGCACATGATGCCAGTGTTGTGGTATGAACAGGGCAAAGAGAGAACAATTGACCTTTTTTTTGGTGCCCTTGAAGAATACGTGCAAAAAAAAAAAACTGACATCTTTGTACTTGGTGTGAACGAGGCCTTAAGTAGCTGTTGCTATGGCAGTGATTTTACATGTCCCTGGTTGTAGGAGCATGATGGGGAACTGAGAGACTAGTTGAGCCTAATGGGGAACTGAGAGATTAGTTCAGCATCTGGTCTTCTTTACTTTAGATTGACAGCATGTGGCAGTGGGCACATTTGAAGCTACTATTGAACTGAATAGCAGTTATGGATCTGCCCACTCCTGTGTGCTGTCAATTAAAAGTGAACCATACCTGATGGAAACTAGTCTCTTAGTTCTCCATCCGACTCTACCTACTCCAGTACGAAACTCTTCAGCTGTGTGCAACTGTCACACTGACAGGCAATGGCCAGGGAGGTAGGGCAGGATTGAGTGCACTAAGGAAGGACTGTTCAGTGTTACAGATTTATGTTAGTGGTGCACTGAAGTAAAAATTCTGGTGCCGAAACCGATACAGAAAATTCAGAATGCACATGGCCACAAACCAAAACTGTAAAGTTTGGCACTTTTTGCTAGCTGATAGCTAAAAAGAGTGGTAAATTTGAGTGGAGAGTGAAAAAGAGTTTTACTTTTGGCTGCTGGTGATTGCTGGGGCTTGTAGTTGTTTTATATTCTTCTTAGGGTCTTGCTAAAAGCATTTACTTTTTTAAATCACTTTTTCTTTCACTTTTTAAATAGCATTTTTTTCTTCCTTTCCTTGCCTTCCTTCAGTCTTAAGGGGAGCGGTTAATTGGTCACAGGTGCTCTAGGTACTATATAACTTGCTGTAGAGCTCACTCTGAGCTTGCTCATCCTTGAGCTTGCCTGTATTTTGCTTGCTCAACCTTTGACCAAGTGGACACTTGATAAGTGGAGTTAAAAAACAGGAGTCTACTAACCTGTAAGTGACAGCTGATATTTCCTATTAGTAATATTAATATTGTAACTGGGATATGAGTGCTAGCAGGGTTGAGGGTTTTGTGCAGTGCACAGTGTGCCGCATGTATGCAACAATGGAGCAACAACTCCAGGATGGATACCGCTGCGACAGATGTGAGTGGGTTGCCCTTCTGGAAGCTCACGTTGGAGATCTGGAGGAGCAAGTTGCAACACTGGGCAGAACCGACAATCTTGAAAGGGGCCTTCTGCTCCCTGAGCAGGTAGCCAGTGGGATTGATGTGGAGGGGCTAATCAGGATTATCATGGAGGAAGATGTTACTGTTAGGAGAGGGAGTGGTAGGGGCTCACAGAAAAGGAAGGTCAGCCCTGGCTTTGTGCACCCAAACAGATTTGCCAAGTTGGGTGAAGATGTAGGGGTGGCAAGCTCAGGGCTGGAATCCCTGGATGTCACTGTATCCCTAACAGCCGGGATGGCAGACCATCTGGGAGGGGTGGTGAGGGTAGTTCAGGAAGGCCTAGACAGTTGGTGGTAGTAAGGGATTCTATAATCAGAACGACTGATATAATAATTTTGTCTCCAGGATCGCCTCAACTGAATGGTTTGCTGTCTCCTTGGTGCGTTTGACATGTGGTGGACCAGGTTGCTAATTTACAGGGAGGGGCTGGGCATGACCCAGCTGTCTTGGTCTATGTTGGAACCAATCACAGAATACATGGAAGGTGGAGGCTCTCTAAGAATCATTTTAAAGAACTAGGCTGCAAGTTGAAGGGAAGGACCTCCAAGGTGATATTCTCGGAACTATTTACCTGTGCCATGCGCAACTCTAGAAAGATAGAGGGGAGATTAGAGAACTAAATGCATGGCTAACAACCTGGTGTAAGAGGGAAGGATTTGAGTTTTTAGAGTGCTGGGCTGACTTTTCATTGGGGTGCAACCTATATGCTAGAGATGGTTTGCATCTAAATGGGTGGGGGTCTGCTGTGCTGGGGGAGAGGTTTATGGGGATGGTGGAGGAGTATTTAAACTAGTATCGAGCCTTTAGACTTTACCTTACACATTAGCCATGTGTGGAGAACTGTGTCAAACGCTTTTGCAAAATCCAAATTTACCACATCCACCACCCCTCTGTCCAAGGTTTTACTCATTTCCTGATAAAAAGAAATCAGATTTTTTTGACAACTTCTGTCTTTCACGAATCCATGTTGTCTGTTGCTTAAAATATTTTTTCCAGCAAGAACTCATCTATGTGGTCTTTATTAAACTCTCCATTATCTTTCCAACTATAGAAGTTAAACTAACAGGTCTATAATTACTTGGGCTTGGAATAAGGGTGGGAACAGGTTTAAGCTTAAATATTACATTATTATCCTGGACTTCTACTTTTAAAGTGATTGTAAAAGTTCAGTGTGGGTTTTTTTTTTTTTTTTAAATAACAAACATGTTATACTTACCTGCCCTGTGCAACGGTTTTGCACAGAGCAGCCCTGATCCTCTTCTTTTGGGTCCCCGGCTGGCCCCTCCCCCTTGCTGAGTGCCCAGAGCAAGCCATTTGCTCTAGAGGCACATGTGCATGCTCGCTCCCGAACTGCCTTGGGCCCTCAACTGGCTTGGGCCCTCTCCCCCCCCCCCCCCCCGCTCCCTCCTCACTGGCTGTGATTGACAGCAGCAGGAGCCATTGGCTTACCCAGTGAAGAGGCAGAGACCCTGGATAGCTTCTGCTCTCATGCACATCACTGGATCGGGTTCAGGTGAGTATGGGGGGGGAAGGGGGTGCTGAGGGTGGAGCTCAACACCTTTTAGGTTTTTTTACCTTCAGACTTTACAAGCACTTTAATGACTCTATCCCAGAGCCTATAAAATTATTTTGAAAGTATACACATACAGCAACAGTATGTAGTATAGTAAGCAGTGCTAAATCTGTCCCAATGTCTGTATAAGTTCATATGCATATAGGTGCATATGTTTGCTACGTGTATTTTGATGGGTAACATGGTAAGTTTTGAGCATGGTTGGATTTTGAGTTTAGTCATTTGAGGAAACATGTTTGCATATTTCCTGTGTGTTCTCTTTCCTTCCAGAATTGAAGGACAATTGTGTGTAAAATGTGGTTATTTACTAAAACTGCATGGTGTAAAATCTTGAACAAGCTGAAGTTAGAAGCTGATTGGCTACAATACACAGCTGCACCAGATTCAGAGCGCTCCAGTTTTAGTAAATCTGTAGACATATTATATAATAATGTTCCTTTGGAGACTTGTCCTATTGTACTCTGGAAATGAGTACTTTTTGTACAATTGTCTTGGGCCACACATAAAATACACTAACAATAGCGATAGCTGGGGAGCAGAAAAAGACAGGCAGATCATAAGTTAACGATCACTGATATAGATAATGTACCTATCTGAGCAATAAAACTTCATTTTTAAAAAATATTTTTTATTATAAAAGAGGGCAACATAAAACGAGTACAGTATTTGACATTGTTGATAAACTAATGCATCAATATTTGGTTCAATGGATATAGTAACAATTCTCAAGGTGCTCATCAGATATTTTAGTTCTTATTTTGCCCTTCGTGTGCTTCATCCTTGAGAATAGTTGCTCACAAATTTAGGTGCTGCCGAAAACTGATGACATGAGTAAGACCTGAATGTGAGGAGAGAGAGATTTTTCTTTGGGAAGATAAAACTTCTAACAGTCCAGTAAAACAACACTGTCAATTTTTTCTCCGGCTGCATGTGCTTGATAAGTGTAAACACATTTTTACAAAGCATTCCCCAAAAAAATAAAAATGTTTAAGTAAGTTTATGATATTGTGTTGGGCCGCATTCGTAGCCATCTTGGGCCGCAGGTTGGGCATCCCTGGTTTAAATGAAGACGATACATTACAAAATGGACTTCTGCTGGATATTTATGCCATCTATAACATCACATATCTATTTTGCAGCTTCCCAAAAGAGAAAGATGTCAGTGAATGATCTTAAGAGGACCATTTTGGATCCGGTATGAAAGTTTACTTATTCTAAAACTTTGGGCTGTGTCTTTTACAGATATTGTAAATTGTGTTTTCTTCATCAAGAGTAGATGATAAAGAATTTTTGTTTGCCTTGAGCTAAAGGAAGGAAGAGCATTACAGGTATTATTACTATTTTCATATGAAAATAGTCTGTTAAAAAATATTTTCAGTCTTGTAGTTCAGGATTCCCAGATTTGGATACATTTATCAGTCTGGGTGCCACCAGGACATGATATCTTAAAGTGGCAAAACCTAACACAGCCTAAATCTACTCCCACCCCTATTTGAAGACTAAGGGGTCAATTCACTAAAGGTTACATGGCTAAAGATAACATGGTCATGTGACTCATTTGCATAAATTATCGCATCTGGTAAAATTCCAATTCACAAAAAGAATAAAAAGCGAATATGTGGTATTTAACGCAGAATGAAGTATGTGCTGATAAATATAGCAAAAAACACGTGGTAAGCTGTTAAATCCAATTCACAAACGGAAAAGAAAGTTAAAAAAAGATGTGCTCTCTATCACCAATGATTTGCTGGTGGTATCACATGCTGTATTTTTTCCCATGCCAAAAATAAAAACAAATACGGCATGGGGTCCCCCCCCAAATCCATACCAGACCCTTAGGTCTAGTATGGATTTTGGAGGGACCTCCATGCGGTTTTTTTTTTTCTTTTAATTGTGGCGTGGGTTTTTTTCTTAAAATTCATACCAGACCAGAAGGTATGGATGGAGGTAGGGGGCCCACGCTGTTTTTCTTTTTCATAATTTTTATTTGCCGACATGTTGTTTTACATTCAGCTGTGAGCGGGAAAGCCACTGACAGCTGATGAGTCATCAGTTGTTAAGAACACGGTGGGTGGCTTCCTTAACAACCAGCTTCCGTGTAACGATATTTTACCGCAGTAGTTATTTGCCATTAAATTCTTAGTTAATTGAACAGTTACAGAATTGTTTCGAATGCATTATTTTACCGCCTTTTTTAAAGCACTATTTAATTCTTAGTGAATTGACCCCTAAGACACTTGCAAAAACTCTAAAAAAAATAAATAAATAAATAAAGTGTGAGCTTCAGTGTTTTTTTTTGTTGAGAAGGCAGTATCTCTTTGTTAGATGGTAATCTTTCAGGAAAGAGTAGATTCATACTAGAAAATAGGCACTGCTGGCCATTTTATTTATTTTTCGATTTACTTGTACGTGATTGGATATTCAAAATGACACCACTATATTTTATTGAGTGAAGATTCTCAGCTCCTTTAGTAAATCAACCCTAGAATATCAGATGGTCAGTTAAGGAGGAACAACTGAAAGAGCTGCCACAATGTTTGTACATGATACATGTAAATTGCAAGGTTTTATATTGAATTATTTTAGGAAGTACAGATTACACATTAAAGGTGTCAGTTAAATGTGGTGGAAGATCGTGTTACACTACTGACTACATTTTGTGAAACACTGTTTCTTAAAAATTAAATGTGGAAATGGTATGGCCTAAAAGGAAAAAAAAAATAGAAAATGCACTTTTAAAAAAAATTATGACTAAAAGTAATAAGAATTAAAGTATAACTAACGGCATAACTTTTTTTGTTTTGGATAGAGTGCAGAGGGATTAGAATACATGTCAGTTTTATTTCTGTGTCCCTGTTAGGGAGATTCACCCTCTCTATTGGTCCCGTTTACTATTATCATTGAATGGAAAAGAAAATATAATAGAGGTAAAACGTTCTAATGGTTTGTAGGGATTTCCTCTCACTTCCTGTTTGACTAATAGACAGGAAGTGAAGGGAAATCTCCACAATGGGACACAGATGGCAAAAAAAAAAATTGACAGGGGTTATAACCCTTTCTTGCTCTATCCAAACTGAACAAAATTGTCTATAGTTCTACTTTAAAGTATAACTAAAGGCAAAACTTTTTTGGATGGAGTAGAGATGGATTAGGACACCTGTCAGGCTAATATTGGTACCTCTGGCCCCTTTAGAGGGGAATCACCCTTCTTTTTTTGTCCTGTTTACCATTATCATTGAAAGTAAAAGAAAATCACACATTGTGGGTTGTCCCCTGAACAGGGACACTAGTATTCATGACCTGGGGCATTCAATCCTGAGGCAGTCCATCTTTGTTTGCTTGTATGGCTAGTTTTATATCATTATCAAAGGTGCTTCATGCACACAAATATGAAATTAATGCTCAAATAGGAGATTGAGACCTTGTGATAACACAGAGAGAACTAAAAGCACTATTGTAGTGGTGTGGATGTCTGTATTGCTCTTAATAGCTGTATACATAATAGTAATAAATGTGCTCTCTGTAGGGGGGTGCTATATGGTTACAACCTATGTAAACCTACAGGTGAAACTTGAAAAATTAGAACATCGTGCAAAAGTTCATTTATTTCAGTAATGCAACTTAAAAGGTGAAACTAATATATGAGATAGACTCATTACATGCAAAGCAAGATAGTTCAAGCTGTGATTTGTCATAATTGTGGTGATTATGGCTTACAGCTCATGAAAACCCCAAATCCACTCAGTACTTGGTTTGGGCCCCTTTTGCAGCAATTACTGCCTCAATGCGGTGTGGCATGGAAGCTGTCAGCCTGTGGCACTGCTGAGGTGTTATGGAAGACCAGGATGCTTCAATAGCGGCCTTCAGCTCTTCTGCATTGTTCGGTCTCATGTCTCTCATCTTTCTCTTGGCAATGCCCCATAGATTCTCTGTGGGGTTCAGGTCAGGCGAGTTTGCTGGCCAATCAAGCACAGTAATCCCACGGTCATTGAACCAGGTTTTGGTGCTTTTGAAAGTGTGGGCAGGTGCCAAGTCCTGCTGGAAGTCAGCATCCCCAAAAAGCTTGTCTGTGAAAGGAAGCATGAAGTGCTCCAAAATCTCTTGGTAGACGGCTGCATTGACCTTGGACTTAATGAAGCACAGTAGACCAACACCAGCAGATGACATGGCTCCCCAAATCAACACAGACTGTGAAAACGTCACACTGGACTTCAAGCATCTTGCAGTGTGTGCCTCTCCATTTCCTCCATACTCTGGGTCCTTGATTTCCAAATGAGATGCAAAAGTTGCTCTCATTAGAAAAGAGGACTTTGGACCACTGACAACAGACCAGGTCTGTTTTTCTTTAGCCCAGGTAAGACGCTTCTGATGTTGTTTGTTGTTCAGGAGCGGCTGACATTTGAAGCCTGTTAGATTTCCAGAGTTATGAAAAAAAACTCTATTAATATTTCTAGGTTCTTGTAGATGGTTGTGGGAAGAAATCCTTATGGAAGCCAGGTCAGTATGAGCAGTGTGACTTTATTTGATCACACACCAAAAATACAAAGTCAATAAAAAACAGTAAACTCAGATATATGTAGCTTAAAATGAAATAAAAATAAAGAATATAAGTTGCTTGTTCCTTGAATATTAGAAGAAAATGTAGTTCCTTTGAAAAACTTAGATAGAAGTTTTCAGGCCTAGTTTCTTCCTTTGTTCAAAGTTAACCTCTTGCCATGTGCTGTCTTTGTTCTTAGTTAACATGCCATGCTTTGAGTTAGAGTGTGTGAAAAGAATGTCTCTCTGTGTGTGAGTGAATGAAGTGAAGTGTAGTGTGTCTGAGAAGCTTCTGAGCCTGTTTCTTTGAAAACTGCATACTTAAAATGCATGAGAAATTAGGTCCTCCCATTAAGCTTTGTTTCAAATTCGCGGGCTTCTAAAACTACTCCCATAATCACTCCCAGCTTACCTAGAACATGTGTTCCTATTCAAACCACCAAGTCATTATCATGATTGACATGCAGACTATGCAAAAGGTTTCTGAAGTTCTTATGTTACATACAACTGTCAAAATCCATGATTTATGACTACAATTTAAACTCTCGGACTCATTATAAGAATTCACAATATGGTATACTGTTACATAGAGTATTTCAAAAAGAAAACATGACTTTAAACCTCTGCTGATTACCTTTAGCTCAGACACAAATAATTCACATCTGACCACTGAAATGCAAAACCTCACATTCACATCCAATTAAGAGGGTATTTTTCTGCCAGCATATATTTCAAAACTACTAAAGACCGAATTAAAGTTTGGATATTAAAAATTAATATTACATTCCCCTCTGAAATATGAAATTCATATTAATTTAAACAAGCACACATCATTTATATCACAAACACTCAGGTTTTGATTTAGTAATCTCAAATGTATCATTATTTGTAACTGAGTCAGCATAACCAGAAAGTATTTTTCTCTGAAGTATATCTTGTAATGGATTATCTCCTTTCCTAATTTCACTTCTAATTCGCTTATAGAAACTGTTCATTTTACACATCAAACATAATTGAAATATAATACATAATATGATAATAATAAAAAAGTAATTAATTACAGGATGTAATAAAATATTCCTGCTGCAGATGTAATTGAAGTTTTTCCCAACATTGATACAGTACGTTTAAATTTTGACCACCAAGAATGACCTGAAAATTGAGACCATTCATGTTCTATATCTTTTAAACTCCCTTGTTCATGTTTAAATAATATTTCTGCTTTTTGGAGTTCATCTGATAAAGCCATCAGTAAACCTTCATCTTTTTGAATAACATTTGCCCAATCTCTCCATGGGAATTCATCCACTTGAGATATATTGTACTGTATGGGAAGAGCACTTATATTTTTCATAAGCATGTTTGTTAAATTCATTCTCATCCCATTAACACTTATTGCTGAAATATCTCCTTCTATACAGAACAAACCTCGACTTAAGTTTTCTGTATGTGTACAAGAAGAGAAGAAGGATTGAACCCTTTCTGAGTTAGACATAACTTGAAAACAAACTTTCTTTTTATCTACAATTGAGATTAACTCAGAAGTGGTTTTAACCTTTTCTATCCTTGCTGAACATAGAGTATGGTTATGGTAACAAGAATGAAATATACCTTTGTCTTGATTAGGTAGACAAATCACTTTAGACTGAAATTGTAAAC